ACTCTGCATATAAGTTAAATAAGCAGGGTGACAATATACAGCCTTGACGTACTCCTTTTCCTATTTGGAACCAGTCTGTTGGTCCATGCCCAGTTCTAACTGTTGCTTCCTGACCTGCATATAGATTTCTCAAGAGGCAGGTCAGGTGGTCTTGTATACCTCACCTCAACTCAGTTATCAGCTAGAACTCAGTCATGTAGCTACATGTAAGTGCAAAAGAGACAGAGAAATGTTGTCTAGCTAAATGCCCAGCCAGCCTGCCTGTCACAATTGGTCTTATCCACGACATGATTTCTCTCAATTTATTCTCAAAAGGAAACCAGAAGTTTAGTTTGGGGATAACCGTGCTTTCTTTCTCAGGTAAAAGTTACATCTAGGTCAGATGGACTACATGACTTTTCCTTCACATTCAGTTTGCTTACAGAGAAGTGCTACGTTTATTTCTTCAAGCTCTTAAAATAAATTGTTCTTTGATGATGTTGTCCATGTCTTTTCCCATTACTTTCTTTTTTTTAGTACTTTTTTTTAGTACTTTAATAGTGCATTACATCTTGCAGAAAGTTGTAAAGCTTTCATGTTGTAAAGATGCCTTTAAACCTTAATTGATAAAACATTTAGAATTTTGTTGAAAGTGTTAATCACACAGTCATGCCTGACTCTTTGTGACCCCATGGCTGAGGCCGCCAGGTTCCTCTGTCCATGGAGTTCTCCAGTCAAGAATACTGGAGTGGGTAGCCATTCCCTTCATCAGAGGATCTTCCCAACTCAGGGGTCGAACACCAGTCTCTTGCATTGCAGGCAGATTCTTTACCATCTGAGCCACCAGGGAAGCCCATAAATCTTGTTAAGTTTATCTAATTTATTGATTCCTAAAATTTTGTGCCCTGATGTGGGCAAATACACAATAATGTCATATTCAGCATGACAATTTACATATTAATGAATATTCAGTTCAGTCACTCAGTTGTGTCCGACTCTTCGTGACCCCATGGACTGCAGCACACCAGGCTTCCCTGTTCATCACCAACTCCCAGAGCTTGCTTAAACTCATGTCCATCAAGTCAATGATGCCATCCAACCATCTCATCCTCTGTCGTCCCCTTCTCCTGCCTTCAGTCTTTCCCAGCATCAGGGTCTTCTCTAATGAGTCAGTTCTACACATCAGGTGACCAAAGTATTGGAGTTTCAGCTTCAGCATCGGTCCTTCCAATGAGTATTTATGGTTGATTGTCTTAAGGATTGGCTGGTTTGATCTCCTTGCAGTCCAAGGGACCCTCAAGAGTTCCAACACTACAGTTCAAAATGAAGAATATTAGGTGCTAAGTCCTAATGATGATATCCTTATAGAATCTCATTAGATTTTGCTTCAGTTTTCAACAATGTCCCTTTATCTTCTCTACGTTCCAAACATTTCCCTGTTGTAACTCTGATTTTCACAAAGGATTCTGCCTCACATTCCAATGCCTGGGGTATTCCCAGCACCACCAAGCAGTTCTCAGACATCGGCCTGGTGTCCTGTAATTCAGCTCAGTTCTGACACTGTATACTGGAGAAGGTATCATTCACAGGTTATGACCTCAGTCCTACAAGACTGCCCCTCCCCACGCCAATATTTTTCTCCATAGTGTCTTCATATAGTATGAACACAACTGAAAAGACACCAATTTACTCTTATTTTTTATTTTAGCTACCAACATTTCTGAAAACATCAAACCACATGAAAATATCTTCCCTTAGCACTGCCAAAGCATCCGTTCATCCAACAACAATGAAAATTCATAGTCTTGTAGGTAGCAAGTCATAAACAAACCGTTACAGTGCTTTGATCTAAAACAAAATAGACTGCCACTTATTTCTCCAGCAAAAATGAGTTTTTTCAGGATCAACAAACAATTGCAACTTGGGCATCTGCAGTCACGGTGAGCCATATGCAAATCCCCCATAGCACAGAGAGGAGGACTCCTTTGTAAACAGGAAAAGGAAGTCGGGTGGGCTACAGGAAACAGTCCACTGGAGGAATTTACACTTTGAAGTGTAGTGGCTTTCTGTTGGCTGAGTTGTGACCGCTTCTCATTGGCTGACCTCTCGCCAGGCAGGAAGAGCCTGCTGGGCCCTGCTGTCACCGTAGATGATGGGCGCTCCCTCTTCTACTCTCTGAAATCTACTGTAATTGTGATGTCTGTTTGTTAATTTTCACATTGCCAAGAGCTAAAGTACACTCATGAATAAAGTGTGAAGGTAGGATTAGAGACACTGATCAACTCATCTTAGAAAAGTCAAAGATAGCTGGATAAAGGAATTGACAATTGAGATTTTAGGTTGTAGAGATGGGGAAAGATTTCCAGCCATAGAAAACAACATAAGAAAAGGCAAGGGTTTGTGCTTTAGGGAAACAGGCATTAGGAAAAACAAAATCTTCAATGTTTCAACCAATCACTGCTGAGTGGTATGTTGCTGGGTAAAATCAAAATGCAATTAGAAAAGCATTAGGGTTATTTTTCCTAATCTAACAATCTCCTAAAAGATCTTGAATCCAAATGGGCAATCTCTCATTCCACGAAATCTTCATATTTTTGTTGCATACCTACATAATTAATTGGGTATGGGTTCTCTGGTGATGCAAGGTATTTGACCAGCAGCTGAAGGACTGACTGCATCTACAACATTTCTTCTCTCTTCTTTCCAGCATGATTTCTTTGGTGTCACATAAAATATGAACCAGAATCAAAGGTTTCCCCACACTCATTACATTAGTAATATTTTACTCATATGGCTTCAATAATTAAGACCTGATTTTTGGCTGAAAGATCTTTCTTTGTTATAAAAATGTGGTTACTGCCTTATATGAACTCTTTGATATTTAATTTAAACCAATAAATAATGAATACAAAAAGGGCCTTCTTTTGCAGTCCAGTGGTTAAGACTCCATGTTCCTAATGCAGGGGGCATGGGTTCTATCCCTGTTAGGGGAGCTAAGACTCTGCATGCCACATGGTGTGGCTAAAAAAAGAAAAAAAAAGTGAATATAAAGTGAGGCATGTTTGGGGATTAGGTTTGCGGGGGGATACATATTGTGATTCAGTATGTTTCAATGTTTTGTCTGTGGCAATCTGGTCCTGAAAGTATTCACTTTTACACAGGAGTCTACAGAATCAGGATGATACTAAAATGGAGTCTAACACTGAACCTTGGAGAAACTTTGATGTCTTTTCTCTCAGCCGCTGCAGTTCCTCTAGTGCATAGAGCTTGATGACAAGAGCACAGATTTGGTGTCAGCCTCCATTTGCCAGGGCTTCCATGGTGGCTAAGCTGGCAAAGAAAACAGTTGTCAAATATAAAAGGGACAAGTTACATGTCTTTTCTCAAGAAGGACAAAAAATAACAACACTGCAATCTCTCAAAAGAAAATGCAACCAATTTACTTCCTTGTAAATAGAAATAAGGAACAAAGAGTAAAGAGATCTTCTTACCTTTACCCGAGATACAATGAAATATGAAAGAACTCAGAAAAGTCAGGGAAGTTTTATGGTAAGCTCATTGGAATTTTCCATCTCATGTTCCTTAGAGGATTGGCAGTAAGTATTTCCTAATGGACTTCTTTCTCCTTTTGCATATTTATGGCTATTTCTATTCATAATGAATACATATATGCATTCTTTTCTTATTAAAAATGTTCCCTATACTTGAGCAGGCTTCTTCAACCAGACTTCAGGCAGAACTTGGATGTAGAAATGGATCGGCTTCAATGTCCTCACTGCCCCTTTTTACATAGAAACAGACTCTCTGAGCCTTCCTTTTTCTCCCTTTAATCAAAAACTGATTTCATAGAAACATGGAATTAGGATGGTGTTTGCCAGGGCTGCAGGGAGTAGGAAATGAGGTGACAGTTCAAAGCAAATTTTATTATGAAAAGAAGGTACTGCATGATGACTATAGTCATTTAATATGGTTCTGTATACTTGAAAGTTACTGAGAGTAGATTTTAATCATTTCACCACAAACACATGCACACACACACTTAATTACTTTAACTACATGAGATGACAGATGTGTTACTTATCTTGATCTTGGTAACTGCTCCACAATGTTTATGTACATCAAATCATAACATTGTACACTTTACATGTACACTATTGTATTTGTCATTTATTTCTCAGCAAAGTTAAAAAGCTGTAAAGAAAAGAATACAGCTGTAGTTATTTGTCATTTTCAAACTAGAGTTAATGGGCTACATTCCCTGAGAGTATCTGCATCTTCTTACCTGTTGCTTTAATAGTCATTGCAGAAATAAAAGCTGTCTCTTTGATGATGACGTCTTCCAATGTCTCGAATTTCATGCATCAGAAAAATCAGGATTCTGAGACTTTGAAAATGTTTGTTCTGACCTTTGTAGGGGTGTGAGAAGTACAGTCACCCCAACATGGTATCACACTGCACATAAAGCCCAGCACCGGCTCAGCCCCTGCTGCGCTTAGCATCTGAACGGCCTGTCATCTGGTCCTCCTCTTTCACATTTGTGAGGACACTCTCACAGGGAGGAAGTCTTTAGGATCTTAGAACTAGTGGTCCTAGGTAGGATCGGGGGAGGGAGGCTCCAGGGGGAGGGCAAACCTGTGAACACAAAGCTGACTCACTTCGCTGTTCGGCAGAAATGAACACAACGCTGTGAAGCAGTCATCCTCAAAAAACAGAAAAACAAGCCTAGTGGTCAGCGTTTTTCTTCTGTTCCATACTATTTATTCACAAATACAAATCACCTTATCAATAAAATATCTCAAAGGAGTGGGAATAAGCATCCTTTCAGCACACAGATGGCAGGGCGCAGTGGGCAAGTTGGAGCTAGTATAGGCTTATGGACAACCTGATATACCTGGGGATCTTCTTAAAGCAAAAGAATATGCAATTATGAATAAAATGTTAGCAAATACCTACTTATAATAAGAAAGGATACCACAACGTATTATACATTTTTAAAAGCTGAAAAATACTACAAATATTATAAAATACAAAAAATATAATATTCTTACTATTTTTAATTATCTGCTTGATACACCTGTTATTCTATCCTACCTTTTTGACCGCACACTATTTAATCATCTCTTCATATAATATTTTATACTCTTTCAATGGGAGAGAATTGCAAAGCAATTTGATCTTTCTCCAAACATAGTTGAGCAAAGTTTATTTTTATTATAGTTTTTAAAAAATTTCTTTCAGTTTTATAATTCTTTATTAGTGATATTTATACATTAATTTGTAAATTATATGTATAAATTTTTAGGATTGCTGTCTAATTTGGGAAAACCTCAGTCAAGTTTCTTTCATGTATGAGTTATAAGCTTCTCAAGGCATTTACATTTTGTTGAACAATGGCTAATTTTAAATATTCTTAAACTGATGACAGCCATTAACCAGTTTGTGATCAATATTGTCACTGTAGTTGTGCACGTGAGTTTTGTGTTTGTTTTTTTTTCCATAGATATCAACATCTCGTTTTGTATCTGTCTGGGTCCAATCAGGAGAGAAGTCACACAGTAATCTGATAGGAAAGTTTAATAAAAGACATAAAAAGAATGAATAAACATATGCTATTCCTAAATGCCTTGGATCCATTCCACACCACATTTTGGCCTCTGTTCTTTGACTAGCCCAGGAGTTGAAAATTCCTCAGAATTCAGAAACAGGTAAGTCTGACAAGTGGGAGCAGCAGCTCTGGCATGAAAGGAGGGCTCATGAAGGAAAAAAACATTGTTCCTTCCCTGTTGAAAGGAACGCCATTGCCACACAGAAATACCCTCTCAGCCTAATTGTATCTTTTGATTTTTCAAGAGAAGATAAAAATCTGGTTTTTATGTGAAATCTCCCAAATATCCAAGATTGGCAATTAGTTAAAAAAAAAAAAATTAAGACTCTATGGGTCAAACAGTTGCTTTCTGGAGTAAATCCGATATCCGACAGGCCACTCAACCAACTGTGGCCATCTCTACCCTTCCAGTCCCACCTTGCAGTCACACCATCTTGTTTCATTATCATAATGGCATTTATTAGCACCTGACTTTTACTGTCACACACACACACTCTGTGCAAAGAAAGGTCCCTAATGAAGACCCTGTGTGAACTTCTCACTGCTATATCCTAGCACCAAGAACAGTGCTGGCCTAGTAATACAGCACACCCAGTGTTGAATGAATTGACTGAATGAACAAATGATTTGGGATTTAATGCTTTTGAACTTGTCATCTTTGTTTCTTTCTAACGTGTGTGTAAGAGCATTCTCTCTGGTCCCACAAACGCTGTCAGCACTTTCCCCCCAAGTGAACCTCCTTTCTGTTCAGGCCCCAACAAGCAGGGGGAGAAGCAGACATAATCGTCTCCATCCCTGCCTCAAAAAGCCCGAGACTTCATCACTGTTGGCTGCGTGAGCTCTCATTGCTGCGTGGCCTCTTCTGGGCTTCTCTTGCTGCAGAGCCGGGCCGGGTGTGGACTCCAGGAGCTGCGCGTGTGGGCTCAGTAGCTGGAGAGCTCGGGCTCGGGAGCTGCGGGTCCCGGGCTCTGGAGTGCAGGCTCAATGCCTGTGACTCGCAGGCTTAGTTGCTCTGGGGCATGTGGACCCTCCTGGATCAGGGATCAAACCAGGGTCCCCTGCCTTGGCGGGCAGATCCTTTACCACTGAGCTACCAGGGAATCCTTGCCATAGGTTTTTAATATGAAACATGATAAATCAAGGTTTTACATTTCAATTAAATAAAGTTTCATTTAAAATTTTAATTATATGTTCATCAAGATTGTTATTGTACTGATCAGAACTTAAGATTCTTTAGCCAAGAATAAGTTGCTTCAGTCGTGTGCAACTCTTTGTGACCCTGTGGACTCTAGCCCACCAGGCTCCTCTGTCCCTGGGATTTTCCCAGGCAAGAATACTGGAGTGGGTTGCCATTTCCTTCTCCAGGGGATCTTCCTGACCCAGGGATTGAACCCGCATCTCTTAAGTCTCCTGCATTGACAGGTGGGTTCTTTACCCCTAGAGCCACCTGAGAAGTCCCAATATAAAGGATAAATGACAGAAACTACAATCAACATAAAAATCCAAAATTGCTCTAGCTCCATGAAAGTGGTTTTTTTGTCTTGTTTGACTTGGCGTGTTAATGTTTGGGCTTCTCATTATGGGGGATGAGTTTTAAGAAGCCAAGGTTTAGCGGCTCATCTTGACATGTCTCCTAATGTGCTGTCTTATATACACATCAATTATAGAATCATATAATACAGAGCATTAGATCCATTCTTTTTAGAATGGAGCCAGGTAGCATGAAAGGTTCATTTGTCTTCTTTTGTTTTTGTGTCTTCAACAGAAAGACAAAAAAACTCTTTGTCATGTCCATTTACTTTTGTTGTGTTGAATTGGTCTCTTTGAACCTGAAGCCTAATCCACAATATGCTTCATGTGAACAGAACAGATGGATGACAGCTCTCATAGGAAGAGACAATTCAAGGGTTGAGCAATTGCGACCACTTCTCCAGCACTGAGCAGAGGAGAGAGCATTATTCTAGACACACCCGCTCTGCCTAACATAGATCAATAGTCAGACGTTAGAAACATGTGGGAATTCCCTGGCAGCCCAGCTGTGAAGTCTTCCCCTTGCAATGCAGGGTGTGCAGGTTCCACCCCTGCTCAGGAAGCTAAATCCCACGTGCCTCCTGGCCAAAAAACCAGAACATAAACAACAGAAGCAATATTGTAACAAATTCAACAAAGACTTAAAAAAAAAAAAAAACAATGCAACTCACTCCCTTTGTTCTGATTCCCTACTTAGCAAGTGGTCCTCTCTAGCTTCCCACATAGGTTTGCTGCCCTAAAGCCTGCCTAGTTCTCAGCACAAGCTGTCCATCAGAATTACCTTGGGAGCTTTTAAAAAATCATGATACTGGAGCCTCTCCCGAGGCCCACTGAACCAGAGTCTCTGAGGATGGGGCTCGGCATAGGTTTTTCTAAAAAGCACCCTTGGTGATTCCAAAATGCAGCCAAGGTGGAAAAGCACTGGCGTGCAGGACACAATGAGCTGATCAGATTTCCCTGTTCCAAATCCTCTAACGGAATAAAACCCTCAATTGTCACCAGGGACTAGAAGGCCCTGTGTGATCTGAGGCCTCTCCACCTCTCGGAGGCCGTCACCTGCCACACTCTCCCTGCCCCGGTGTCCCAGCCACACTGGGCGTACTAGTTATCTCCTGCACGCGTGCATGTGCATGTTCTTAGCTGCTCAGTCGTGTCCGACTCTTTGCAACCCCGCGGACTGTAGCCCGCCAGGCTCCTCTGTCCAAGGAATTCTCCAGGCAAGAATACTGAAGTCGGTAGCCATTCCATTTTCCAGGGGATCTTCCCAACCCAGGGACTGAACCTGAGTTTCCTGCATCACTGGCAGATTCTTTACTGTCTGAGCCCCCAGGGAAGCCCCAAAACTTAAAGGCTAAAAACAGCAAATTTTCTTTTTGTGTGGCTGTTCTGCACAGCCTGCAGAATCTTAGTTCCCCAGTCAAGGGTTGAACCCGGGACCCAGCATTGAAAGCACCAAGTCCTAACCACTGGACCACCAGGGAATTCCCAACAAACATTTCTTATCCGACAGTCTCAGTAGGCCAGGAACCCAAATACAGTTTAGGTTGTGCCTCTGGTTCAAGGTCTTTCACAAGGCTGCAGTGAAGATGCTGGCCATGATGGGATCTTCATCTGAAGGCAGTTGCTTCACCTTGTACTTCTATGTTACAGAGATGCTGTCTCCTCAGACTTCAAGAACCAACTTCTACTGGCTTCAGGCTTTTCTTTTGTAGCTTCCTCACCCCTCTCAGCCTTCACAGAACTGAGGAGAGTTAGGACCTTACTCTGAATTAGGCTTTGGCTTAAGGGAATGGTGTGGCTGTTTCAACTTGTTTTATCCAGACCACTAGAACTTTCTTCATATCAGTGATAAGACTGTTCCATTTTCTCATCATTTGTAAGTTCACTGGAGCAGCAGTTTTAACTTCTTTCAAGAACTTTTCCTTTGCATTCACAACTTGCCTAACTGTTTGGTGCATGAAGCCTAGCCTCCAGCCTATCTTGGTTTTGACAATGCCTTCCTCACTGAGTTTAATCATTTCTAGCTTTTGATTTAAGATGAAGAGATGTGTATACCACTTCCTTTCACTTGAACATTTAGAGCCTGTTGTGGGGTTATGATTGGCCTAATTTCAATACTGTTGTGTCTCATGGAATAGGGAGGCCTGCAGAGAGGGAGAGAGACAGAGGAACAGCAGCTGGTGGAGCAGCCTGAATACACACAGCAATTGTTGGTTAAATTTGCCGTCTTTTGTGGGCATGGTTTTTGGCATCCCCAAAACAATTACAACAGTAACATCGAAGACCACTGATCACAGATCACCATAGCAAATATAATAATGAAAATGTTTGAGACGTTGCAAGATTACCAAAATGTGACACAGGGACACGAAGTGAGCAAGTGCTATTGGGAGAAAGGCACCAATGGACTTGCTCGACACGGGTTGGCTACAGACCTTCAATCTGCTTTTAAAAAATGCATTAAGTGCAAAGTGCAGTAAAGTGAAGCACAATAAAACAAAGTGTAATGAAATGAGGCGTGCCTGTGGTTGTACCGACACCAAGATTTTGAGGATACACAGCCAGGTCATAAAAAAGGCACAGAGTCTGGGGAATCCATATGTAGGCTCCCTTATGCACTCACCTCTCACAGAGGATCCCACAGCTCCCCTCTTCTCTCAGCAAAGAAAATGCAACAGGGTGTGTGTGCAATATTTCTGCCTGGAGAAGCTCACTAAAGATTCAGCACCCAAAGATTTTCCGGGGGCCTGGTCACACAAGCACCTTCTGCTTAGTGCCTGCTAAAATCCCAGTCTCCCGGGAGGAAAGTAGGTGTTCAGCATAAGCATATTATTTACAAAAACAGTCTAGGTGTAGGGAGCACCCCTTATCAATTAAGGAAAGTTTTACATCCTCATAGAGAACAGTTTACCAGCCAAGTGCCCAGATGCCAGCCAAGGGCCAGTCTCCCAAGCTGGCCTTTCTAAGGATAGTCATCTTAGGCCTCCCATATTCATCCTTTTCTGTATAGTGAGAAAACAAGAGCCCGAAAAAACTGCTGTTCCTTGCAATCTAATATTGGCAGTGACATTCCCTCACCTCTGTGACATTCTGCTTATTAGAATCTAGTTACACATTCAGCCCAGGGAATTTCATAAAGCTGTGAATACCAATAGCTGGAGATCATTGAGAACCATCTCAGAGGCTGCCTAACACACTTACTTTTTATTCCTCAGTCACTCTCAAGATTATCTCTGTCTCCGAATCTTTAAATGTAATACTTCCTATTTCTGGCATTATCTCCCCCTACACTTCATTTAGATTTCTGTTTAAATGCCCCATCCTGAGGGACCCCCTTCCCTTTATCCAGTTTAAAACAGCCTACACTCCTTCCTAACAAGTTTCATCCTCTTAGCCTATGTTTTTCTTTATAACAGTTACCATTATCTGCAATTATGTATTTATTTGTTGACATAGTTGTGCAAATTGCATGACAGTAACAATCTATTCTGTTTGGGGTTTTTTGTTGTTGTTGTTTTTTTTTAAGAAATTTTATTTGTTTTTATCTGCGCTGGGTCTTGGTTGCTGCTTGAGAACGTTCTCTAGTTCCAGCGAGCGGGGCTCCTCTCCAGCTGCGGTCACGGGCCTCTCGTCGCTGTGGTTTCTCTTGTTGCAGAGTACAGGCTCTAGGATGCATGGGCGTCACCAGGTGTGGATCCCAGGCTTAGCTGCTCTACGGCACGTGGGATCATCACAGACCGGGGACCGAACCCGGGTCTCCGCAGTACAGGCAGATTCTTTACCTCCTGAGTCACCGGGGCAGCCCTAACTGCTCCTAATAGCCCTGTCTGTCGTGTACTCTCCGCCAGTCACCACGCTGGGAGGATAGGTGTAGAATGTAAATCAACCGCAGCTCTTGGTAGCCAGGAACTGAAGCTAACTCTGGATGGATCACACCATAAAAGAGTTTAATCAAGGGTTATTCGTTGCTCATAGAATTGCCTGAAAACTGGAAGAATCAGGTTTCTGGATAAATTTCTAGGAGTCATGCCACCCAAGTGGGCTGATGAGAAACTGCTGTCTCTGTGACAAAGCACTAGATGGCTCGGTTTGCGCTGACGTCACGCCCACCCTGGAGCCAGTTTTCATGAAGCTGGTGCTCCCACACAAAGTCACTGCCGTCCCAAAACCGTGACTTGGCGGCCACCCCTGCAACCACGGCCACCTCTGTGTGCCTCTAGAGAGATCTCCCAGCCCCTTCCCGCCCATGCCATTGGCTCTGGCACCGAAACTGAACTACAGCTGAGTGGTGAAGCCCAAGGTTGCATGCTTCCGCTCTTACTGCAAGGAGACCCAGGGTACCAAGTTCTGAGCACTTCCGTCACTATAGGGCCCATCTTTGTCCCGCACCAAACTCATAAGCAGGAACATCTGTGACAGAAAGAGTGTCGATGCTGAGAGGACTCAAGGAAAGAT